GGGGACAGCCGGGGAGCCGCCCTTTCCTCTTCTTAAATGGGCACCGAGCTGGTCTTTGCCAGCGGAACAGCAAATGTGTTTCTGTCTGTGTTTAGGGGGGGAGGCGTTTGCTCTTCAGTCCCAATGGTTTTGCGACTCGCAAAGAGGATAAAGAGAAAACGTTTCTCAGATTAATTTCTTCTGTGGGTAGATGTCAAATGAAAGATGTATAATAGTGAAATGACTATATTTTTAAAGCAAGAATCTCAGTATTTGTATGATACTTAAGAATTTCAGGGTGGCACCTGAGTAATAAAACTAATACTTGTTTTGGTGGGGACTTTCCCTTCTTCAGCTACCATGGAGAATAATGAAAGTAGTGCTAAGGATGCGAAGAGCACCTCAGATGAAGATGACAGCGGAGATATAGTTCAACAGAAAACTCAGGAAGAAATTCTCTTTCATGAGGAAACCATTGATCTTGGTGGAGATGAATTTGAGTCCGAAGGGAATGAAACTGTATCAGAAGATTCAAATAATTTTGTAGATAAACTTAATGAACAAATGATGGAGAGTGTCATTATTTCAGATTCTCCAAACAACAGTGAAGATGACACAGGTGAACTTGGTTGTCTCCAGGAGATTGTAGAACAAATGGAAGCTAAAGATAATCAAAAAACACAAGCAGAAGTGGATAAAGAAGAGTTTTTAAGTAATGAGAGTGAAACTGAACACGAAGAAACACCTAAAGACATTTCTGAGATTGGAACAGATGATCAAGCTTCATTAAAGGAAGAATCAATTCAGGAAGCAGTGAAGGAAGAACCAAAGTTGGGAAACAACATTCCTGTTGAAACAAAACCAAATAATATTGATGAAGGCAAACCTGAGGACCAGATATCATCACCCAGTACTAGCAAACCATCTTCTGAGGCTGAGCCCATTCCTGTGTGTACCATCTTCAGCCAAACAAACAATGTCAATACCCAGCCACAGTTGTTCCTACCTGATGGTTTTGAGCCTCAAATGGTAAAATCTCCCAGTTTTAGTAGTATAATTGAGACTCCAGTGAAGTGTAATCCACAGGTGGTTCAGCCAAGTCCTAGTCTAAGCAAGTTCTTTGGTGATACTGTTAACACTAATACTTTAGCTTCTGATTTTTTTGATTCATTTACCACATCCAATTTTATTTCTGTTAGTAATCCCAATGCAAGCTCCTCAGTTCCGGAACAAATGTCCTCTCTTTCTAATGGTGGAGACAGTTCTTGTGCTTCATCTAACCCTACCTTCTCTGTGGGAAATGGGAGACCTGAAGCAAGTGGTCCTCCATCATCTCTAGAAATAACTCAACCCCCCAAGCCGTTCTCACAAATCCAAGCTGTTTTTGCTGGGAGTGATGACCCGTTTGCCACAGCCTTAAATATGAGTGAACTAGATAGAAGAAATGATGCTTGGCTTCCTAGCGAGGAAACCAGAAATGTGCTAATTTCAGTTGCCACACAACAATACAGCACCGTGTTCATAGATAAAGAAAATCTCACCATGCCTGGATTGAAATTTGATAATATCCAGGTAAGAGTCTATTATTGTATCTTAATGTCTGATTATATTTGAGAAATGTTGTATAAGAACTGTCCAGTAATCTCTGTGTCCCCTTGTGTGTATTGCTTCAATCTTTATTAGAAAATTTAATGTTACTGCCTTCTCCTGAAGGGACTAAAACCAGGTCTGATTTATTTGTAGCAAAATTTGTTGGGTATTTTTTGAAAACCAATGTTGACAGTTTCCATAGAATCCAAAGCTGGTTGTATTTTTAAGTAGTTTCAGTTAGTTTCTGGTCTTCCTAGTTAGTAAGATAATGCTTGCATTTGGAATAGCTACAAAATCACTATTCTGTACTACGAAGTCTGAAAGCAGGCAGCTTTGTTTGCTTGAGGAAGTCACTGTTGCAGCCAAGTGGGAAATAACATTTTTCACTGATGTTCACAGTGCTCTCAATAATATGAACACTGACTGAAATAGTGTAATTTCTGTCTTCCCCAAGCAGTGGAAAAGTATAACCTGTAGGAAACACTGAGTGCTGGAGCAAGGAAGGAATAACCTCGAAATTAAAGGGAATACTCCAGATGAGATCATGAAGGGAAAAACATAGTAGTGGAAACCCATTTCCTTCTCTGCTGTCAGCATTCCCAGCTGGTGAGAAGGCCTACAGTGGTTTTCAGAATTTGAGAAATTTCACTCAAATCCGTGCAGTATTTGTCATGAAGCAATTTTATCCTGGTTGCTCAGCCAGGGCTAACAAGGATAATGGAATTTTTTTCTTGAAATAGGCTAATCCTACTCTTTCATATCTATGTCTCTGGATAATAGAATTGTTGTCTGGAGGTGGTGTTCAGGGTTTGGATACTTTAATCCTTAATTGTAGCATAACAAAGATTATCAGTCAATGGTCACATGGTCTGTAGTAACTTCCCAATCTGCAGGAACTATCAGAAAAGTTTCTGGAGTGAATCAGGTCCAGATTTGTAGCTGAATTATCTGACTCATCTTAGGTTCTGTCGCAAGCAACAAATGATACCAGTTTTGGACATATGCCATGCTGCTGCTGCTTCTTGGGTTAGCTTTATCTTAGAATATCTGCCTGTCATCACAAAGCCCAATAATTAGTGTGAAAGAAAACAGTGTAATGGGAAGCTATTCCTCCCAAAAACCATGGAAAGGTCCTTCCCACCTTGCCCAAAAAATCCCTTAGACCTTGATGAGTAGTCCAAGAGTGTGTAATATTTCTCTCCTGGCAGCTAATGGTATGGACAGAAGGAACGATCCCTTCCGCAGGCCCTGAGGATGAGAGCCTCCTTATTGCTGTCCTCCTTTTTTACAGTAGTTGTCTCTCTGGAGACCTTCCTCAGTCCAGTCAAGGATTAAAGGCTATTTTGTGCTGATGATTCCCTGAATCTGTGCACATACACAGATGCAGATCTACCATTTAGCACGTAATTGAAAAGAGATTTTATGGCAGTGTCCACGTGATGTATTTCTACAGTAAAATCATCAATGGAATTAAAGGGGATTTCTGCTCCTTTCTTCGCTGATTATAATTTCTAAGCACTCAGTCACACAGGCATGTCAGCAGGGGCAAGTTTTGAAATCCTTTATGTTTATACAACTTTCCTCACTTCCAGTTACTGGTTTCCAGTGGCCTGAGTGCATGTCTTGACTGACCTGACATCCCCTGGTTTGGTATCATTGTTCCATTTGCTTGTAGTGCTGCAAATTGTGTATTTAACTGAAACTATAATTGTAGAGTACTTGAAATGTCAACTGAAGCATCGTAGGAGGCTTGTTTTCAATGTTTAATCAGCTTCCAACAATGGTCATTAAAGCTTTGGTATGAATAGTTTGCAAATGCTAAATGTTAGTGCAAGATGTTAAACCAAGCTGCACGCAGTTGACAAAGTTAGTTGAAAAGTGCATTTACAGTGAACTGTAAGTGTGCTTCAGGCAAGGACTGAAATTTTGTATGACCTGTATTGAACAGCTTGACACTTTTTTTTAACCTGCTCACCCAGAAAGTGTTTGTTCTTGTTACAAGTGTGTTGTCTTAAAAGTTAAGTGGATAAATCACACCAAGGAAGATGCTAAATGTTCTCAGTTTCCACTCTGTGTTACTTTTTGCTGATTATTCAAGAAACATTATTTTTTAAACCATCCTGGATTGTGTATGGTACAGGTTATCTGTACCTGCGCTCTCTTGAGCGTGCAAACAAGTTGGAGTACTGCTTTTTATGCTCTTTCCTTTATGCCTTTTTTCATCAGTTACTACCTGCTGTCATTATGTTCTACATTTAATTTCATTTCATTAATTTGTAATGTTTCCTCCCCCAAAGTACTGTTGGGAAGGATTAAAAAATATTCTGTATTTATGTGATTTTGCACAGACTGTCTTTTCTTAATCCTTCAGACTCTTCTGTCTGAAAGATGGAAATCTTGTTTATTCATAGGATAGGTGACAGTATTAGAGGTAAAAATTTCACATGTATTGAAATAGTAGTTGCAGTCTTATTCCTCAAGAAACTAGAGAGAAAACACAAACATGTTTCATCATTGTCCGTGGGGAACGTGCAAGCATTTAATATCCATTATTTTTATCGTAGCTAAGCTTTACTGTATTTTATGCAGCTCACTTTTTTTTAGGCAAAAGGCTTTGTGGCTTTCTTCCTGCCCTCTGTGCTAGCAGCTTCCTACATCAGGTCTTCAAGAGAATGTTTTCATGTTCCTTTAGAGGGATTTTTGCAAATATTTCTTTGTATGCTTACGTTTTTGCATAGTTACTTTCTGCTTTACCATCTTAAATATTGCATGCTGTTCTAGTTACCATGTATCTGAAAAGATATAATGAAATTAAAACAAATGGCAGAGGTTCTCTCTTGTGAGTGACAGCTAAAAGGAAGAGGGCCTTTTGGCTTCCAAGGGCATTAATGATCTAAAATTCATAGAAGAATTAAGGTAAATAGAGGATTATGATTTGCTGGGTTTTATGGCAAAGCAACTGTTGAATAATAAACATAACGAAAGGAGTTACTGTTCTGCAGCCCATGTAACTTTTTAAGTTGTAGAATTCATTGCCCTTAAGTGTACATTTGTTCAGAAAAACAGACTGAAAAAAGGAGTAAGAAATATCATGGGAGATGTGTCTGTCCATGGATGTTTAAAAACGATAGGCAAATATGTCCCCTGGCACAGGTGGACCATAAGGCTGCTTTAAGTTGGGAAGGACCAGTACGACCTTATCCTGTTTCTAATACTGTTGTCATTAACATCTGCTGTTCACTGGCAGGATGGTGAGCTAGACAGGTCTTTACTCTGGCTGAATGTGGGTTATAAATTGCTTTCTGTTTAAAAACAAAGGTGTAAGTATATTATTACTATATTTCAATATTAATATATTGCTCATAATTTTCCTTCAGATGTTTCCTTCCTTTTCAGATGTTTGCTTTTCTAGATTAAAGGCACATAAAAACATAATATTGGCAAAAATTTTACAAACAGAATTTGTTACCTGCTTTTGGCATGTGGTGACTTCTGACACCAAAGGGGATTCTCTTGTATACAATAATGTGTACAGTCCCAGCAAGACTAGGACCCCCCCACGCCCTGTCCCACAGTCTGCATTGCAGACACGGTACCTGAAGAGCGCGCAGATAGTAGCAGCATGCTTTTCAGCATATGGCAACGTGTGGTCCACAGTTTTTCAGTAGCTACTTGATGTTAAGCTTGAATTTCTCAATTACCTGTTGAAAATCTCTAGTCCACAAAACCACAAGGATGTCAACCAGCAAACAGGAAGGCGCAGAAATCCGTAGCTGAACAAAGATTAGAAGGGGAAATGGAGGCACAGAGGGTGCCATATCCAGAGTTACTCAATTTATTGCTAGCAAAGCTGGAATAGAACCTGGATTTGGACACTCTTCCTCTTAGCTGCTCCATGTTGTGAAATGTAGAATTAATTTTGTCTAACTTTAGGAATCTATTTCAAATGTCTGTCTCAACTAGTCTCAAGTCTTCAAATTACTGAGCTCAGATAACCCAGTTTTCTCGTTAATTCTTTTGAAATCAAAAACACTTGTTGAAGGGTTGCTGTTTACTTGGTTTTCTGATGTCTCAAAGTTTATTTTCTTTGGGTACTTAAGGCTAGCTGATCATGTGCACATTTATCATTGATCAGTAGATTGCACCTTTCAACATTAATATCCATTATGAAAACCTGTAAAACTTAGTGTATTTTGTAAGATCTTTGAATGATAATAATAATAAGCGAATAAGCTTGAATATTTCTATGCACTGAAACTGAAACACTGAAAAAAGAATATAGCAAATAATGTGGAGTAAATCTAGAAGTTTTCATTAAAATGCTGTAAATATATATGCATTTATATTCATTTCACACAAAAAGTGCTGGAAAATAAGCATTTCTCAGGGGAAAAGATCTGTGTTTCTCAGCTTTAATTCAAGATCTTATTTTGCGAAAATAATGTTTAAAAGTGTGTTGTTATGTTTCTTTTTTTCTGTTCCATGAACACCAAGGGAGATGCAGTAAAGGACTTAATGCTTCGCTTCTTGGGGGAGCAAGCTGCAGTGAAGAGAAAAGTTTTAAATGCCAACTCTGTAGAACAATCATTTGTAGGCTTGAAACAGCTAATTGTAAGTAACAGTCTTCGTAATTCAATATATATTAAATACCATGCTTCCCTCAAGATAATTGGGAGCTACTGACTGTGAGGAGAAACTGAAAAAGAAATCTACCTATCAGTTTATTCATGATCCTGCAAAAGTACTAATAAAGTACAGTAGTTTTTAGTGGGAATGGCATTGGGTTTAAATATTTGGTTTTAAACAAGGTAGTAAACTTTTTTATTTGCAGAAGTTAGAAAAAAGGTAATTTGAAGTTAGTGTGAATTTTATGAGCTGTTAATTTTTATGTAATGTAAATGGCTGGAAAATAAATTTTAATTGGTTTTTTTTTGTTTATCTGTATATGTATTATTTATGTTTTTACCTTAGGGTTTAACAAACGGTAAGATGTACCAGTTGTTGTAAATGGCAAGCAAAGCTGATGTGATATTCTCAACTGCTTTAATTTTTTATTTAGGTGCAGAAGAACTAAACTAAATTACTTCCAAATGAAAACTTTATTTTCTCTAAGTTAAAATCCTTTCCTTAATGTAAATGTTTCAGACCTGGAAATAGTTGCATCTAGCAGACTTGTGAACCTTGCCTTGTTTCTTCAGCCATTGTGTTCCTTTATGAAACTCATTACTATTACAAGACTGAGCCTTGCTTAATCTGTTGAAATGTCAAAATATTTTTTATTTATTTTACTTTTGAAAAACTGGATTAAAAAATTCTGAGGAAAAGCAGTGAGGAATTGTAAGTGTTGGGACAGTCTGTATTTAGAATTTAACATATTTTAATTGTATTGTATTACATTACGTGTAAAGCTCCAAAAGAGACTTCTTTGTCATGTTAGGAAAACTCTAGGTAGTCTACACAAGTGTTGTTAAAGGAATTCAGAGGTAATTTTGGAAACTAAACTTGAAAAAATAGATTGTGCTTTCCATCTCGGAGATGGATATTTTTCTGTTCGTCTCAGTGTTTTGCTTAACTTGAGAGTTTGGAGGGGAAAAAGAAAAATCTTATTAAGAAATCTCGTCTGCATCAGTGTCTCAGTAGGAAAAGCCTTTTTCCACACTTCTTTTCTCTCTTCCAGAAGAGAATTTTTGACGTATGGAAAATCTTTTTCTGTTTGGCCTGGTAGCTCTGTCCATGCAAAATGTTCTATACTGCAGACCATCTTGTACCTTAAACACAGTGCTGCCATTGATGCTGTTTTAGCTTCGGGTGTGCTCTAAAGCTCCAAGAGAGCAGTGTTAAGTCTTTTAGGATCAAAGCAGAGAAGATAGGAGGCAATTTGCAGCCATCAGATTTTTTCCTACCTTTAAAGTTGTCATAGTAGAAGGGTTTTTTTTTTTTTTGTAAAATAGCAGCCATTCAGCCAGAAGACAGGATGTTCTTCAGTTTTCAAGACTTCCAATCATTAGCTGTTATTGTTCTTGAGTATGCAATATAACCATTTCTCAGTATTGTTTGCAGAACTCTTCTTTCTTTTTCTGGTAAGAATTAGTTTTTTGTAGGGTTTTTTTTCCTTGCAAACATTGCTGGGCTTTTTTTAAAATTCTTAATGTGGAAAATATATTTCCAATTGGTAACAGTCTTAAAGCTAAAAGGTATTTCAGACTTACAGATATTAAAAAAGCATGAATTTGGTGTCTAGTTCATTTGAGTGAGATTTGTACCAGTAACCCGAAGATGGATAGTTGGTTTATTGAAAAACTGTACTTTCACATTTTAAATTTCTGCTGTGGCATGGGTAACAGTGAATTGCCAGAGCTTTGCTGGTAGGGTAATGGTGTGGAGGTTGTGCTGTTGGACTGATTTTACAACTTTGAGGCTTTTAAGATACAGGAGTGCTGGAGAGGTCCAGCAAAGTAATTCTGTACATCTGTGTGCTCATCATTGAGGTGATAACTTGTAAACAGAATTACACATCTGAAGAGGCTGTTTATATTTTTCAACTGAAAACAGAAAATCCAAGTTTTTAGTTTCTGAAAAGTTTTATTATCTGGTATAGGAACACACATTTACCTCTAGAGAAAATAAATATAAGCAAGAGCTTGTTTTCACAGCATTGCTTTTACAGCAGCAAATAAAAGTGATGCATACAAGGTGCAAGCTAAAATTATATTAGTTTCTGTTATTCTGTGGTTTAGGTTAATTGTTTACCCTCATTTGAACAAATAGCACAGTATGTCTTACTGGAGACCTTTCTGATATTTTGAGTTGTAAGGTGTTTGCAGACATAGGAAAATTATGTCTTTGGTTATCGTACCTAAAAAGAGACCACTGTATCTTGCCACTATAAATACTCAAAGTTTACTCTAAGCATGCAATCATTTCTTCAAGCTACTAGACCAGGAAAGGGTTACTAAATACATTTTCTTAACTGATGTGAAAGTGCTCTACCAATGTAATTTACAGGGGAGAAGAATGTCATAGCTAGTGGAGGAGGACATTTTAATCACTTTAATGGTGTTACATGTAGAGTTAATGACTCCCTTTGAGTCTATTTAAAAAAAAAAATCATATACTGTTACTTCTGCACATGATTAATGTTGTGCTCTTACATATATTTTCAAAATTAGAAACTTGGATACAGTGGTATGGCATACATATTCACTTTAATATGTTAGAAGTTATCCTTAAAAATATGAGGGGAGGATTTTCTTTCATTTCTAAATCAGTGAGCAATTTCCAACTTTTTTGTAGCTGATTTGAGGGAAGATGGGAGACACAAGTAGCACTAAGGGTAACTGGGAGCTTGTGGGAGAGGCTGCATTGCTACACTAAAAAGTGTGAATTTATTGGGTAAAATTTCAGTGGCTTACCTCTGAGTCAAAATTGTTTTCCTCAGAAACTAAATAATATTATAAATTGTCTTCATGTATTAGGTGAGTTCCGTTTTCATTGAGCGCATTTTCTGTAGGCATCCAGTCTGAGTGACTCTGACAGAATTCCGCCTGGGTATTAGCTATATTTGTTGCATCACCTGAGCTTCACTGCTTTCATTCAGGAAAACAATGTATAGTATTGTAAAAAAAGAGAAATAAGAACACTTCTGCAAGTCATATGTCTAAGATCTTTGTTCAACCATAATTAAAAAAATCAAGGAAAAGGCTTCCAAGGAACAGTTACGTGCGTGAGACTCTGGTGCTTGGTGCTATTCAGTAGTATTTTTTTTTCATTCCAAATCAGTGAGTGTCTTCATAATAGAATGAAAACACAATCTTTCAGGTATAGTGAAAACTCTGATAATGGAAGTTCTTTGACACTTTATTAGAAAAGGAAGAAACATAAAAAATATTTTTCCAGACAGACTACAATTTTTGGCTTTTATTGGGTCATTTTACTAAACTGGAAGTTTCCTTGATTTGTGAATCTAAAAAATGTAACATCTTCAGTGCTATTGTTGTATTTGAACTAATAACATTCTAGTTTTAGTCACTGGAATTCTTTTCTACCTTACATCTCATCCCTTCATCCATCTTTGTAGAAAATATACTTATTGAATGCAGTGGGATGTATAGAATATCTCAGTTACTTTTAACTTTGACCAAGTAGACTAGAAGGATTACCAGATCTTTAGATGTGGATTTATCAGAATTTGTAGCTCATATTGTTTACTCATTTTCAGATGATTTTTAGGCAGTTTCCCTTTATTGCTTTTAAGAAAAGCGGATAGTGATAGCCTTATTCGGGCTCTTATTTTGAAAATGGTGGAATGTAAGTCAGTAAAATGAGGAGCTGAGAGTTGGTCACCTTTCACTGTCATTTTTATCTGTTAAAGCTGCAGGTACAGTGTTTGATAATGAACATACCGTATTTGTTCCAAAAATGGCATGTTAGTGGTAGACTTGGCAGTGTTTACAGGTTACAGTTGGACTTGGTGATTTTAAAGGCCTTTCCCAACATAAATGAGTCTATGATTCTATGTCAGATTTGTGTGCAAGGTAAGCTCTCATTGAAGAGAGCTTTGTAACCCACAAGCTTATTACCTCAAGCTACGTAAAACTTTTAGTTCCTGCCTCCACAAGGTAATAGCCTGACAAAATCCTGACACTACTGTCTGCATTTTGATTTAAACCTAGAGTCACTGCATTAAAATCTCAGACAGCTTAAGAAGTTCAATGAAAAGAAAAATATAAATACTTTTTTATTTGAAACCTGGTTTAATATGCAGTTTCCCCATCTGTAGGTAAATCTCCCCCAGGATCTTTTCTGATTTTGCGAAGAACAGAGAAGTTCTGTGCAGAATAATGCAATCAGATTGTCTGTTGGGTGGCTTATCTGCTTGTCCTAGCTTTGGTGTGTGTATAGCAGTCAGCACTGAAATGTTGTATTTTGGTTTTATTGTTTTAGTTTTTGGTTATGTTATGTGAACCAAAAAACTCCCTTCACAAGTTAAAGGTCTGGACTAGTAGTGTGTAAAAAGTACACAAAACATTCAATCATACTTTTTGGGGAAATAAAAAAAAATTGCTAATGTCATGTGTGGAGAAAAGTTCCCTTCTGCCAGGCTGGTACCGTGTTCACTATTTGACAGTAATATTTGTTGACAGTAATTTCTCTAGGAGAAAATCATAGAATCATAGATCATAGAATCATAGAATGGTTTGGGCTGGAAGGGACCTTAAAGATCATCCAGTTCCAACCCCCCTGCCATCAGCAGGGACACCTTCCACTAGACCAGGTTGCTCAAAGCCTCATCCAGCCTGGCCTTAAACACTTCCAGGGAGGGGGCATCAACAACTTCCTTGGGCAACCTGTTCCAGTGTCTGACCACCCTCACAGTGAAGAACTTCTTCCTAATATCTAATCTAAACCTCCCCTCTTTCAGCTTAAATCCATTTCCCCTTGTTCTATCTCTACCTGTCTTTGTAAAAAGTCCCTCCACAGCTTTCTTG